CCCCGGGGGGGCCCCGGGCACGGCCCTGCTCGCCGGTGTTTGCCTGGTAGCTGCTACGCACTCGAGGTACCCAACGGTAAGGCGGTAATAGCCGCAACCAGGTGCATCCCCCGAGGGGGAAAAAAAAAATCACCCAGCAGCTTTACAAATACACCCCTCGGAGCACAGATCACTTCAGGGGAAGATGGTTCGACAGTCCTCAAAAGCTCACCGTGCGGGGCGAGATCATGCTCCCCTGTCCATCGCCCAGCCCGGCCGCACGCTCCCTGCTCCACGTCTTGGCACCACTTCTGCACCGACCAGGGAGCAAACGGCGGCACTGGAGCTGCCCAGGCTTTGTTTCAGTTTTTGTTCATTTGTTCCCGAGGAGAAAAACGATGGAACTCACTCCTTACTGGCACAGTTTGGTAAAAAGCCCCGTTTTACTGAATAGACATCTGAATTAAAAAGCATGAAAAAGCCCCTCTTTTTAAGCCTTTCAAGAGTTGCTCTATGAAGAAAGCTTCTGCTTTCTATCTCACTTGCTGTGTGGCATTAAAGATGGTTAACCCAGGAACATCTGGATCCAAATTTAAAATGACACTGTTCTGCTCTATTGTCTGCATTCAAAGTCCTATTTACTACTCATACGATAAAGTCACGACCAACTAAAATCGCTTTCTACTGGCCTACATCTAGCACAAGCAAGAGCATTGTTGCTATGTGAAGGTTATCAACATAGATGTTTATGTAAAGTGTCCAGCTAAAATTATCACCTTTAAGTTGGAGTCAGAATTATTAATTCAGAAATGCTAAAACTAAAGCTTTGCTCCAACTTTACTAAAGCATTACGTACCCCAATGGGAGTTAGGCCTCAACCAGCATGCACAACGGGTACCCTTCCTTAATGCAAAGCTATCCCAGGTTTTATTTCCCTCACTCATGGTCACTGAAAGACCTGAGTCCTTATTACTGTACTCAAATCCCCCAAATCACCATGCAACGCAACATACCTGAGAGCTTCCAAACCATCCATTTCCTGCAGTTAAGGGCGTTTGACAGAGCTGAGCTGTAGGTGCAAAATTCATGATTTGATTTCTTTCTCCCTCCCATTTTTCCCAGCACTCATAAACTCTGTGTTCCTTCGGATTTCACACATTCCCAAATGTGCAAGGTCACAGTACCAGAAACAGGACGCAGGAGGAGCTCGTTTAAGTGACTCACTCAGCACCTGCAGAAACAGCAGTTCTCATTAGTGACTAAACCCAGTCCACCTGCACCACGTCCCCTTCTGCAGAGCACGGCCTCCTGCCTCCATCCTTGGCACTGGGGCGCCGACGGCCGCTCAGAGCCGAACAGAGAGCGGCAAGTGCAACAAGCCCTCGGGCAACGTGCACCAGGAACCAACCTCCTGGCACTTCCTAATCTTAAAAACATTTGTTCAATGAAGTGTTGGGTGGGATAGCCCTGGTTGCTTCATTTTTTCAAATTATTATTATTATTTTAATGCCAGAGAAACATAAAAATAAACAAACCAGATCTAGAGGCCAGAGCAGATAATCTGTTCTCTAGTCTGTCAGAGCAAACAATCATGGTTTAACAGAATTATAAGAGAGTAAAAATGATGTCTTATATAATGAGACATCTCTTGTCAGCTTACTCTAATAGGAAGAAAAGCTGGGTACCATGCTTCTAACAAGCAGAAATCAAGATAGGATTTGAAAGTGCAGGTAAAGACATTTTTCATCTCTGCCAGCCACATTTGGACATTCTAGTATCAAAGAAATCATAGATTTTTGTACAACTTCTCAATCTTATTTAGGCAGATTAGAGCCCGAAGTCAGGTTTATGTGTTTCTCAAGTCAGTATATATGTGTGTGTGTCTTTATTTATTTTATATATACATATGAGTACATACATGCACATGTATATCATATATAGTATGCATATGCATATTTTGCATACTATATATATAATATGCATATATAGTATATTATATATACACATATATAATATGCACATATATATATACACATACATATATAAAATAAAAAGCTGTCAAGTATTTGCAATTCCAAAATGATCCTAACACCACATCAGATGGGTTTTCTGCATAGATGCAGTTCCTACTGATGCACTAGACTGACAGCTACAAATATTTTATGAATCTGTCTTTAGGCCCTGGAGCAAAGAGGCACTGATGTCTGGGAGGTTTTGTATGGGCCAGATCCTGACGTGTGGAAAGTGCAGAGGTCCATGAATGGCAAGGACAGTATTTCTGGGACTCAGTACTTCATGCTGTGAATTAAATGTTGCATTACCTGCTTCAAAAGGCTCTGGAACACATTTGCCCTGAATCTCGGATTTTCTCATGGCAAGGGTGCCTGGAACACAAGACAATTTCAAAGCACATTTTAATTGGAACAAGAATTCAAACAGAAAAACTTGAAAGAACAGTATTCCCTCTGTGAAACCGAGAGAACTTAACTGAAGAAGAGTTTTTAACTCCCATACTAGCTTCCAAATATTAAAATTTTTCAGACAAGCCCCAAGTGAACTTGACTAGATTAAAAGCATATAAATTAAAGAATAAAACTGGAATAAAGCCATGGTCTAGACAAATTACAGTCTTCACTGATCTTTTAATTTTTGTGTGTAACATATGCACATGTTAGTTAATAATCATTTTTTCTGGTACTTTTATATAGAAATAAAGTCCTTTCCACAATATATTTTACCTGTGTTCGGATCTACAGGGTTCTCTGCCTGTTCACACTGGGGATCTGATGTCCTTCCTCAGTAGTGGCAGATTTGGAAAGCATTAAGTCTGTTCTTTCAGAAACAGCCACGTCACTAAAAACTGGGGGTAAAAGAAGTTGCATATTTAAGATGGCAAAGACAATTGCTTTGAATGCCGGTTTTAGAAAACTAAAAATACTTTCTAATCATCATGCGGATGTTTTCTTATTTTCATAGGAATTGCTATAACTGTGGGCCACCAAGAACTTGCTTCTTGTAGAGAAGTTCATGGAGGCTGGTTCAGAAAAAGGTACAAGAAAGCCTCCCAAAACAAATGAATTAGTTACAAATTGATTTACCTTTTTTGTCACCTACCCCAACTCAAGATCACATCCCTCAGTTCTCAGGCTTTTCCATTTTCTTCATTATAACCTCAGTTTGTTTTTACTTCCGGATACCAGCTCTGCTGAAATTCGTCTTCGGAGTCAGTATTTCCTTTAATGATTGATGCCCTGGGGCCTCAGGTTCTCCTTTTGTATGAGGCATGTGCTGATTTAAGTATAACCAAAGGGCATGACCCGTGGCGAGGCAAGGAAATTGGAGACTCGCCAGCGTGAAACCAAACATACCTGGGGAGCCGCTCCTCAGCCCAGGCCAGGGCTGCAGTGCTGTGGGTGGAGGTGACAGCTTAGGCCTATTCCCTGGCATTCACTGGGCTCTGCATTTCTCCCGCTGAAGGAAAAAAAGACATAGTCCCCTCAGAAGCACATTGCACCATACGGTTATAAAACTCAGACATAGTAAGGATACATATTTACTCCCCACACTCAACCACCAGCCTGCTGATTGTTTGCTTAATGAAGAAACAACAAGATTATTTTTTCAAGTCTAGAGATGCAGGAGGCCTGCAGCATGGTCTTGAAACCCGAGGCAATACAAGCCAGCCTCTCAGCTCCTCATTTTTAAAACTGGGTGCTATTTGCACGTCAGCGCTGCTCGAGGGGCTGTTGAGGGAGGGGAGCGCCGCTGTCCCCCGCGCTGTGAACGCGCACCATGAAAGCGCCCGCGCAAAGCCCCTGCGAGCAGCGCCAGCGCGATGCTCCCAAACAAAGGGCACCCCTTGCTGCATGCTGGCACAGCTCCTCGCACCTCTCCTCCGGCAGAAGCGCCTCGGCCGCGGCAGCTTTTCAGCTTTTCTGCTCTCGGGGCTACTGGCCAGTAGCTTTCAGGTAACCGAGGTGCCGTGAGCAGCCCCAGCTCTCATCGCTGCCATCATGCGGGAATGCAATATTGCCCTAAAATCAGAAAAAATACCTTCTCTCTGCCTGTTTGATACAACTCTGTTCGTCCAGTCCGAAGTTGTAAAAGCTTTTTCTGCTGAGATACCACATTTAGCAGTTAAGTCACAGCCTGATTTGCTGTCCAGTCACTTCTGTGATTTGATTTCCAAAACTGCACAAGAAGATTTTCTTGATATTTTTCATCTGTTTACCGCAGCACTATAAAAAAAAGGATTTTGCTGAAGGTCTTGACAAGAATTAACAGACAGCACATGAAATGGAAGTACATTACATATGAAAATGTCTATAGTTTCTCCTTCACAGGGCATTAAAATTGAGAATACTAAACCACACAACTATATTAAATTGCTTTAAAGATAATATTAATCTAGCAAATTGTTAAATGAAGAAAAACAGCATACCCATTACTTTTAACAAAGCAGTGTAAGATTTATGGACAGGATTTAACCACAGGACATAGGAAACTCAAGAGAAAAATGTGAGACATGAAAATTACGGTTGTAAAATATCTTATGAAAAATAAGAAGTTGTAGAAATACAGGAGGTAGTGTACGTGACAACTTCATATAATAGCTGCATTCCATAAAAATGTTCCTATTTTGAGGTAGCTGATGTTGAAACAAACTCTGCCAAATAGAGTGCAAAAAAACCCACAAATTCTCCAAAGAAAGCAGTATACAAATATCCATAAATCATTCTAAAAATAAGATCAAATAAGATGAAACATTTAATCGCCTGAGGCAGTGACAGAGAATCAGTGGTTCTTGCTAGCGTATTTCTAGTTGTAAAACCCCCCATTTTATACTTTCATGCATAAGCTCTTCTGGGCAGTGGGGAGTTGTGAAGTCTCCTAGTGAAGACGATGAGATGGATGGATGATATATGACTACCCATGTATAAACAGCACATGGGGTACTTGTTGCAGTACTTGCAAAGAGCCAAGTGACTGCTCAGACAGACACAAGAGAAACAGCAACTCCTGGCTTCTGGAAGTCAGCATGCGGAGACCTTAAATAAGGATTGTACCTGCCCAAGGTTCTTTTCTCTCCCTTCCCCTTTCCTATTCCACGGATGGAGCAGGAAAGCAGTTTCCAAGTGGAAGCACAAAGCCTGACAACGTAAGTGATGCAGAGGAAGGCTGCCCAGCACGCTCTCTGATACGGGAATCACCGCCCAAATATGCGGCGTGCGAGAGATGCTATAACGATTATGACCACAGAGTGGCTGTTCTTTTCGCAGCGTTTCTTGTAAGGAAAACTGTGACAGCATGTGATAATTTCTGGGATTGTTAAATTAAACGTATCTCTGTGGACAGTGAAACAGACTTCAGGGACGCGGTTTCAGTAACATTTAATTCCCAGGGCTTCATAAGCAGCAAAGGTCATAAGTGACGGAAGTATGACAAACACCGCGGTATTGCTAAGGTCCCAGGATGACCATCAGGCACTAACGTTTGGGGTTATTCCTCCTGCAACCAAGTGCTGCCCAGCAAGATGTCTGTGAACACACTAGAGTTGTTAAGCAAATGAAATCGGTCACATTTAACAAGAATAGGAGAGGGGAGGCAGAGGACACGAAGGTACTGGAGGGTCTCAAGTCCCCTGTAAGGATTCTGTACAAAGTGATGCTATCCATATAGTAGTTTGCGCCCATTTACTAAAGGGAAAAAAATGCACTGGGAAACAGGCCCCCCTGCCCCAGAACAGAGATACACCACAAAATCTAAAATCTTCTTTTGGGCAAGACGCTCACAAACACATCAAGCTTCCCTAGCCATTACGAACCCACAAAAGTCTTGTGCCTGATGGAGAGGTCGGTCACAGACTCCTTTGCTAGCCAACTGACTACTGCTTTGCATTTTCTGAAACTCTCTATTAATTTTCTGTGCGTATTGGTGTAATCTCTGCCTTCAACCAAGCTACCCTGAAGCATAGACTGCATTAACTACACGTGTGGCAGCCTCAACAGGCTGTTGATTGACACCAAAGACACAGTAAATCCTTCCAGTAAAGGCCATGCCCTCCATGCAGCCATCTGAATCACAATGAACAGTTTTTACACCAGTCACACTCCTGCAGAACTTTGGTGGTCAGGGCATAGATGCAGCAAGAGAGAGTGAATATTTTTTCTCTCGACTGATACCTCTTCTGCCATGGATTTGCAAGAAAAGGTTTCCATGACGAGCAAGGGAAGTTGCGCACCAAAGCCTTTCCTTACCTTTCAGGAACATCAGGAAAACCAGCTATTCCAGGCTCTCTTCCTAAAACCAGAAAGGACAGGAGCTACACCACAAGGATGAAAAATTAAATGTCAAAATCCAGATTGTGCTGCTGAAAACACTGTTGCTAGAGAGAGGCAGTGAGAGGACTTGATCCGGCTCCAATTCGAAGCTGCCTGTTCCAGAAGGTTAAGATGTTATCTGAGCCCATTACCTCACAAAATACTTCGAGTCAGTCATGTCAGTGGTTTTGGTTCTTTCCATTTCCCTGACTTTATTACAAAAGGTCACTCTGTGTCGCAAATCCACAAATAACAACTTGGGGACGCTTGCCAGCAGTCCCTTTCCTACGCGTTGTAGTAACAGCCGCAGTGGGAACCAAGAGACAGCCCTGCTCCAGTGACTCAAAGGGCGTTTTAACTAGGACCATGTGAAGCTGCTGGCCACACGTCATCCCGCACACAGCAGACTTGCGTTACGCTGTGCCAGTGTTCATTCAAAAAAAGGAGACAATTTATACCACTAGCTTTGCATTTAATGCATTTTGCATTATAGCTGAAACTTAGCAAAGTATTAAGGAGATACTCAGCCTCAAGCGCACAGACCCTCATTCAGGTTATATCTTTGAGATGAAAAGCCTAAAACCAGAGAGGAGAAAATGAGGCTTTATTTGGAATTCGGACAATTTAACAGTGGTGCCCTTTCAGCTGTTCTCTCCCAAGAAAAACCAGAATAATTTAAGTTCCAAATCGGCTTTAGCTCTCCCCTGTTAGCTCTCCCACAGTTAGGACAGACAGCTCTAATTTGAGGCAAAATCACCTTCCTAACCTCCGTGGCGGCCCAGCACACAAACAACTCACCTAGAGCGGAGGCCGAGCCGTGTGCCAGCTCTGCAGGGCACTGCTGGAGCTCCGAAGGCCTCGCACATCTCCAGGGCTATTCGATTCAGACCTCTGCCCTCCACTCACTGCGCGTGGTGGTGTGTAGCGACACCCGGACCAGGGTGAAAGTCCTTAAATCTATACTTAGGACAAAGTCGGCTTTATCATCAGGTGCTTTAAATACTTAAGAATAGTCTCCATTAAAGAACCACACACTTCTTCCTTGTGTGCAACATGCCGGGGCTGCGCTGCTGCCGATGCACATGGCATTTGTCTTGCCAAGGTCACTGGCAAACTGTTGTGATCTGACGGGCGCATTCAGAGAGGAATTCTCCTTAGAAATAGCTGAGATAATGTGGAATTAAAATTTCACTCAGTCAAATATCACAGCTAAAGCACATATTGATGCCATCATGCAAACTTAACTCAAGAGGAAAAAGCTGAACTAGGATGCTATGATGAAGAGTGTGCAAAATAAAGCAGCTGTCACTATGGATACAATGGCAGGACTGGGCTGAGCACTGTTATTTCTGGACAACCTCAGTTCTAGATGAAAGCAGGAAAGTTGTCTGGCACAAATAAACATACCAGAACCAAAGTACAAAGTGCTCTCATTAAATCTCATGTATATTGACCCATTCAGTAGAATTCAAGTAAAAAAACAAAGCCTGGATCAAAACCGGAGAGAAGAAAGTTTCCAGACTGTTAGCAAATCTGACCACTCAGAGGAGACTTACCTAAGTATAAATTAGAAACAGCAGATAAGAGTAAGTACTTAGGAAAATTCTGGTGACATAGCAGAAACTTCAATGATCTTATAGGTAGATGCAATCAGAAAACTGAAATGCTAGTACTGTTTTAGAATATATATATATGTACTGCATATATACACATATGTAATCACTTCCTTTTAAACTCTTATAATTAACATAAAAAGTTACTAAACCTCTATTTTTAATAAGGAACATATGTGACTGAAGTGCAAGTAGAACCTTTGTATTTAGAAAGCCTCACACACAGGCTATTCCACTGATAGAATTTCCTAGATGTGGTTACTCCAGACAGTCTGATAAGACTTCAGAAGTTCAGGAAAACTAGATCTTGGAGAGCTTTGTTTTAAGATTGAGAGTAGCGACAACTCTTTTTGAAAGTTGTTCTTCTGTAGTCATCATTATTTGGGGATGAAATAAGTGTCTACATCCACTGTCTCCAGAAACCTTAGCAGTTTATTTGTTTCAATATCAGGCCTTAAGCCAGAAGGACTGGCTACACAGCTAAGTTTGTTTTGTTTTCTGCTAGTATAGTGGGCTTGGAATAGGAGGAGACACTGCTACTTGGCTGTGGATTTTAGCATCATGGTTACTTTCCCATCAGCCCTTGTACTGCATTGGTCCTTATTTGGACCAGACAGAGAAGTCACAGTCTAACTCCTGCACTGTTATATTTTACCTAAATACATATTTAGATATGAAATCCCTGAATTCACTCTGAAGGAATCTTCAGCGCACATTCTGCGCAAGGCACACGAAGGGCTCGTAAGAGAGCTATCACTGGCAGGGTTTCCAAAAAGTTCAATGAGGTTTGACCTAGGGCTCATTTAAGTACCCAACTTGGTGCCTTGCCGAATGGAACACAACTCTGTTTTGCCTTCCCGAAAGCACAGACACAAGATGCAATTTCTTACATTGTGCAGTCACATCCTTCAAATTCATAGCACTCCATGGGAAAGTATACAAATCTAAACCTGTACTACCACTGTAACTTGAATTTGCTGGGACACTTCCAAATCACTTCCATTTCCAGGAGGAATTAAACCAGGTGCTTTGTCTCTGCAAAGCAGCTTAAGCTAAAATCCTGATACCACTTGCTGCTCTTACATGGGGTCATGTTCATTAAATATTTAAGCCAAAATAACAGTAAATTGAGATGAGGGAGTAGCAACATTTAGCAGATAAAGCTTAATCTCTCTGAACTTCAGTTCTCTCTTGCCTCTCCCTGAGGATCTATCTGCTTTAAGAGATCAACGGGACCACATGGGACAGCACTAGCACTGTTTAAAAATCACAAGCTTAAATGAAAATGAGAACTGAGCTTCTGACCTCACCTAGGGTCGTCTTACCCACGTCAAGGCTGGGGTTATTTCCAGGGCAGCACATGAGAGCTTTCACTGCAGCTGCTTGAATAGCACTTTGCCTGTAGATTAATGGATGACTTAGGCTTCTCATTCTTACCAGCCTTTACAATTCAGGAGAACACAGAGGATTTCTTCTGAAACACTTGAAGTAAGAAGACAAAAGCGAGCTAACCTCATGACCTGTAAAGTGAGGTTGCAGAGAAATCTACTCATCACAGTTACTCACAGTTTCTGGGAAAGGGAAAAGAAGGGGTTTCAAGACAAAAAAAAAGTAACTTCAGACGGGAATCTACCACAACCATCTGTTTCTGAGGCATTTGCATGATGTAGAGGAAAGAGTAAATCCAACAAGGACCAGTTACTGATAAAGAGCACTGTCAGCAAGGACTGAACAGACTTAAAGCAAAAGCACTCTGTACTTTCACTGTTCTTCCTTGTATCTAAACAAAGGAAACAATACGATGAAGTGGAGGAAGTAGCATTTTAGCAGCTAAACCTCTACTCTTATCACTGACCTTCTGTTTTCAAATCTCTATCCAATGAATCTATTTATTCACTCAATGAGTTTCACAAATTCAACAGATAACAAGGTTAAATGAAAACGACAGCTGCTCTGGGTTCCTAAGAAAAAGTCAAGCTCCTTCGAAAAATTAATTTCCTACAGCCCCTGTCTGATACGAGAGGCGTTGCAGAAGAGGTGCACAAAATCCTGTTCACTAACAAGGTGATGCCAATATGATATTGTCACTTAAGAATATGGCAACACAAGAATAGTTCAGCGCATGGGCCCAAAGATCCATCCTGAGCAGTTTCCTGCCTCTCAAGAGTTGCCATCAGTCAAAGACCATTTTCAAGACAGAGCAAGTGCAAACTGGTAACTTTTCAGAATGTTTTCCCCAGCTGCAAGGCTGAAGAAAGGCTGAACAGTGAGAAACAGGAGAGCAGTGATTCTCAAGAAGTCTTGGCACTTCACTCAAACACCTTACAAGCCCATCTAGAACCACGCCAGCTCTCCAGTGGGTGTGCAGTAGTCAGATATTGCTGGAGCCAATATTTCTGTTCACTTGCTAGACAACTGTTAGCAAAAGCAGAGGTAGCAGCAACTTCCAGTCCCATGTACCAGAGAGGGAGGAGGAAGATGGAGACCTGCAACAGATGGGGCTGTAATATGCACACATGTATGAGAATCCCAGTGAACTCAAACAAGGCTGTTGCAAGCTTCAGGTCAAATGTGTGCCAAGGAGTTAGTCATAACCTGAGTGTTCGTCAGAGCTCTGCCACTGCACAAGTTCTGCTTGCCCTCAGGCTTGCCCTCACCCTGCCCTGGACAACCTGGAGTGGCAGAATGTCATTATCCACCCTTGAAAATGCTAACCTTTTCCTATGGTGGTTGTTCAGTAAAACAAGTAATCACTGTACTGTTTTAAGACTGTTCTGAGTAGATTTAAATTACAATGATGTTTGCTATAAATGAGAGAATAATACATGGAAACTCATCTCTAGTTAGTAGGGCAGTTGCACACAGGCATACATATATACACATGAAAATATATAGGACAATATGTATCAATACAGACTCTTTTCAGTGAATACTGTCTCTTTTCTGTCCCTCAGTTAACCCCATTGATACTGATAGGTCATGGGCAGGCCATGTGCACATATGCATATGATACTACTAAGGAGTGGGAAGAGTTTAATATCAGTAAAAAAAGCTCACCACTGAATTGCAATGATAAATAGTTTCCTTAGCCTCCATAAACAAATAAAATAAAATAAAGATATAAATAAATAAAATTCACAGGGTGGTTTAGACAGTAGGCAATATTCACACCACATACAGAGTCAAGCTCAATGTAATTTGGAGGAAGAGAGCAGTCCCCACTTCTAACTCCTCCACCTATCCTTTTTTTCTCCATTCAGATCAATTCTTTGACGTGCAGCCTTTCAGCAGTTTTTTCTAGCACAACTGACAGGGGAAATGAATGTCTGAGAATAGCAGGGGGTTTCTAGCCCAGCTTCACCATCCAGGCTGAATAATACCATAAAACAACAGCTGAAGCTGTGTGGCTATAATCACTAAGTACATATATCCTGAGACATCCTTTTCAAATGAGATGAGATCCATTTCAGGTCCTTTTTTCCCTCCCTTTCCAGTTGACTATATTCATGGCCTAGATTTCCATGACCTTCACTTTTATAGACACTCGATTGATTTACATTACCATACGGGTCAAAATACACACACAAAAAAAACATGACTTAGAAAACACAAATGTCCAGATGTAAAAAAACTAACATAGACAAACTCACTATCATTTATTGCTCCAGTAAAACTGAAGAATCAGAGCATAAGCATGAACTCAGAAGGGGCTTAGATATTTTGCTGCTCTTAACAATTTTTTTTAAAGCAATAATGAAATAAGTAAGAAAACAGTTAAC